AAAAAAAAAAAAAGAAAAAAGAAAGACGAAGACAAAAACAAAACTATAATGAAACGAAAAACTGAAAGAACGACAAAAAAAAAGAAAAAGAAAAAACGTTAAAACAAAGGACGAAAACGAAAACAGAATTTTCTATCTTTTATTCCAATTCTTCCCCTCAGTCCTGTCAAACACAACTAATATCTTCCGATCCAGTCAAAAACTGGTAACTCGTCAGTCATAGTGTTCGCGAAAGAATCTTGGATCCTGAGGGGGTCCATCAAAGAACACGTGGTCTTGATCCTCGTCATCGGTGAAGGAACGCATCTCCACTTGCTCTAATGTTTGCTTGTTTCTCTTTGCAGCGAAATCGGGATTGAGAATAGAATTGCAGCCAGAAGTACTGGGGTCAATGGTGCAATCAGCAAACTTCTTTAGATGACTTTCGAGGTAACTGAGAGGAGACGAACCCTGAGAAAGCACCTGAAGTGAAATTAATTGAACAATACATAAGTCACGTGTCACACAACAGGTCACGTGTCACACATTTTCATAGGCCTTTTCTAAAATAGCGAACATAGAAACATGGGGGCAGTGTGGCCTAGGTTGGGTAAGAAGTATTGTTCATCATGTCGTATATAGCGCTCTTTGTACCCACGCTAGACCATAATGCACCTGGTTTGCCAAACTCAGAAAATGTTCATACATAACGAATATTGCCTGAAACAGTAAACAAATCAACCATGACATGTCACGCGTAAGTGTCTGTTTCTCGTGTCACGCAATCATGCACATGTCACAAACATGCACCCCCACCTGGAAATGAAAATCCTTCTCATTGAATGTCTTTCCTTGAGCTTCAATCCGCTGACTGGTAGCATTGCGGTAGCTCCATATAGCAAGCTGACCAATCATGTAGGCCGTGGCTTGTCCCGGGTCGCTTTGGTAACGCGTGACATCTTTGATGGCTTTATCAGTTCTATCCCAGGCGTATTTGGCAAACAATTCCAAAGCTTCATGTCTTGTCATACCTGTTGCGCAAAAGTATAAATAAGAGATAATGATTTTTGGGCCTAGCGCGCTTCCCTTGCTATAATCTGCTTTGTGTCAGCTAAAATCCATGTCATTTGGCTTTGCTCAATACTAAAACTGCTGTATTCCATTCTACTTCTACTTTATTTCTTCGCAAAGCCGTTACAGCAAAAAAGAGGCCCAGTAAATTAAACTCCATTCAGCTTCATCTTAAGCGTTAGATTATTGTCTAAATGTGTAAGTTTTCCCTATTTTAGATTACGTGACATTCCCTTGAGAATGACTCTTTTATCCACATTAATATATTTACTCTGACATTACTGGTGAACAAAGAGATGATACTCAAGGAAATGACACGTGATCTGAGATAGGAATACAGAGGGTCACTTTAAATACAACCTTTGTAATGAAGTCCAGTGTCTACAATTAGACGTAAAGCGCGCCAAATTTGCCACTTTAACATGCCATATTTCTGTAGAGGGAGGTTGTCATAGGTATCAGTCTCTTCTGTGATAAGCGGGTTCTCAGCGTACAATGCCCAACCCTCTGTGAAAGCCGTGTAGTAACTAAGTCCATTCAACCAACTGATGATATCGCCACGATCATCACTGAATAACTCAACAAAACTGTGTACCTAGTTTCAAATCAGAAGATACCAAGTCAAAACGTAATCAAGAAACCTCTTTACCTTGGCCGGGGCGTAATGTTTACTCATTCTAGACCACGTGTCATTCCCTTGTGGATAAGACTCGTTGTATGCATATTCATTTGGTAAACGTTAAACAAAGAAATGATACTCTAGAGAATGGCACGTGGTCTGAAATAGGAAAACATTGCACCAAGACGAATGAGGTTTATTTATTATTCGTCTTCGATAGGAGACTGGTGTCGACCTTGTAGTGCCAAGGCCAAAATGGAGGAGATTAGCTATTGCGCGTCCCATTGCATTTTCAGTCTCATGTAATAATGAGTAGCGTTTGTTAGGTCTCTCTTTTGATTTGAGGAAATTACGAGGTCTCTGGCTTTCCCTCCGCAAAATCCAGCAAGCTAGGGCCCAATCCATACGACGATCCATACGTCAAAAGAACGGCGTGTCATGCTGTCGCTCCAGTGTTCCATAATTCGTCAATCGCTCTCGTTCCCTGACAGGGATCACCCCAGAGGATGTTTCAGGTTTTGATTAAAAAGATACTAACAGATCACTTTAATATAATTTCCGTAAATTAAGTTATTATTTCAATATTATACCTGAGTATGGTGCCCAGGCCTTGCTTCGTGCGCAGCCACAGAATACGCATTGTATATGGGACCATGGTCCTTTAAGTAGAACGGTAATCTGTATCTACAGGGTCGAGAGCAGGAACGATCACTGCTGCTGTAGCTCTGTGAACCTGTTCCTGGATTAAAGTTTGCCACTACCTGGACTGGACAGTTTGGTGTGCTTTGCTTTGCGCCAGTAAAATGAAACATATTCACGGTTTTGGGGGCCAAAAGAGAAAGTACGCCTAAAAAAAAGAAAGAGTAATTTTCGTTAGCTTATATAAACTGTACAGTTGTACAAATTTGGTTGTCTTTGGTTGTCAATTCCTCTTCAGTGTACAGAAACGAAGGAATGCATGGCAGAGTAGGTGCACATGCCTGTATGCCGCTCGGAAACCAAAGCAATTGATTAAATTGCGACAAATTGCGAACAAAAAAAGTAAAGTTATAATCATTTTTAAATTGAAAAAAACAAAACAAAAAACAAAATTAAAAGAAACAAAAAAAACAAAACAACAACAACAACGACAAAAAAGACAACTAAGGAGCAAAAGGTTGAGTAGGTATAATGTTTAGGTCACCCATCCAGGTGCCAATCCTCCCCAGTCGGGCTTGACTTAGTTTTTTTAAAACCAAAGTTTTCCCCACTGGACCACGGTTCCACGTTAATCAGCATAACAATAGCCGTGAAAACAATGCACCGAATAGACTAGACTTTTTAACATTATTTTTTCAACCGATTCCGTGCGTGGCAGAGATGCAAGGGATTAGCCGATATGGTCTGGGGGCCGGCTGGTCTCTCCCCTGATGCTTCGGCTAGAACATTTTCTTGCGTAATTCGTACACCCAAGGGCAGAAGGATTTAATCGCCGTCAGGTCCGAAGTCCATACGCCGCCTCAGCTCTGCGGATGTCTCGGGGGTATGGCAAAGTGGAGTCGATTTTTTGGAATTTTTTTTTTTTCGAATTCCACCGTAAACAGATGAGATTTTTTTCTTCCTTTTTTCTTTCTTTTTCTTTTCTTTTTTTTTTTCTTCGAGAGAACTTTTTCATTCAGCGACAGTTCTCAAAATAAGATTCAAAAGTGCCACGAAGAGAGTAGCTCGTATTCTGTATTTGTTTCATATTTGCAGCAACTCGTCTTATAACTTGCTGAATGTCCCTTATGGGCCACTGAACCAATCCCTCAATCATTTCCTAGACATTTTACTCCAATTTTACTCGCGTTCACATTGACAACGTATTTATGAATTTCACCATTATTTTGATTATTGCTTCTAAACATGTTAATTAAGCATTTAATAAAGTTGTTATTATTATTATTATTATCATTATTATTATTATTATCATTATTATAGCTCTTACCATTTACATAATCAAACCACTTGAGCATCGATGCATATCTTTGAGAACAGTGTATCTTAGCGCTCGCCATATCAATACATTTCATCGCCGCATCCTCATTCGTCTCATTGTCGGGGATTGGATTCTCATTAAAAAACATTTTCGATAGCTTCTTTTTGAAATCCGTCACGGCCTGGTCACTGTCATTGACACCCGTGATTTCCCGCGCGATTGCAATGGCTTTTGGATACAGCTTGTCCAACATGGACCAACCAAGCTTATTTATCTCATCAGGACTCATGTTTGTAGTGGTAAAATAAGGCAATATGCTCTTGTAGGCTTCAGATCCATTCAGCTTTTCTCCAAACGGCAGTACTTTGGTCGTTGTTTGGTTGGTCTTCTTGGCATCGAAGTACACATAATCTATTGGAAGATTAGCAAGACCGCTGGACACGTTACTGGGGACGCAGTACCTCGAGTGATTCAACTCGAGATATTGTAAAAGATTGTACAGAGGAAGGCCGACATTCTCGACAAGTGATTCATCGATCGACTCCTCCACTTCTTTTCCTTTATTCTGTTTCCATGACGATTTGGTTGTGCCTTCGAGGTCAGCGTACCATTTGGCGTTCCTCATGTCTCGGACAAAACTTGCATTAAGAATTCCTGCAAAAATAAACAAATGTACGAGGTACTTTATTACATGAGATTTTCATGATGTGCTACTAAAGCTCGATATTTTGGAGGTCACACATTTTCGTATTTAATTTCGCAATTTCATTGCAAAATCATTCATTTGTTCCCAAATGTGAACAAATTCCTTCGTTGTGTTCAGTGTTGATCTGAATCCAAAGAAATCTATATTTTAACAGGTATTCATAAAATTATCTACTTTTCGCCATATGAATTGAGAGCCACCTACACTTATTTTCTTGGCACTTTCTTTGCTTTTTAAAACAAATTGACAAAGACAACGTGTCGCAAAAATATATAGCGTAATAAGATATTGTGTTAATATATGACTTTGCCTTAGTTTGTCTCAGTAGACGTATGGATCTGGCTAATGTGATACTGTATACATGCATTTGGTATATATTTGCTATATTTTAATTGTATTTTTCTTATCAAGCACAATTTTGATAAATATTTAAGTTTAAGTAGCATTAAGCTAATTCCAAATCAAATATACCAACAACATATTAGCAATTTTTACATCCCACGATCCCACTTATTGACCCCTTGAGCATGCGCTTACAGCAGTAGCGCGGACCTCTTGATGCATTCATTGTTTAATTGCAATCAATCACGAACGTAAATTAATAGCTAGATTTTTTCAAGGCATTGACCTTGATATATAGTACCGTGTAGGTCAACTGCAGCTTTGTATATATATTACATATCACTATATCAAAAAGACAAACTAATTTACTAAGGAGCTAAAAGTCTCAGACTTTTGCATCTCCCGCCATTCAAAAGGAATAATAATAATAATAATAATAATAATAATAATAATACTAATA